GTGTGTGTGTGTGTGTGTGTGTGTGCGTTTGTCAATGCCAAGTCACTTCACCTACTTTAGTTATGAAGGATTACCTTATCTCGGTGAGCAGCAGGAGCTTTGTCTTCTCCAACTCAACATGTGCGCTGAGTTCTCATTGTGTAACTGTGTAATCTGTGCAGATAAAACCTTTCCCTTAATACAGACTCTTTTAAAGTTTTCAGAGGGGATGAACCCGGCTTTATTTGAATATTCAAAAAGGTCTATTTGAATTTGAAATGTAAGGAGTCCATTATACAGGAGGAGAGATAACCTTTCCGACACTGCAGTGCTTGCAGTGTAACCTGAATATAACTGACTCTTGTTATTAAACAACTGCAGGCTTCAGCAGACAAGGCTGTGTAAGTCTCCCTCCCTCCTGAGAAGTTTGAGTGTGTCATGTGGACCTGGTTGCCAACGAATTTCCGAAAAAAATAAAATATGGATGTTTCCTTGACCATTAGAGTTTTCTGGCACCAACACACACAGGTGTAGCACACAATCAAGCTGGTGACAGATTATTTCTGGCACCCTAAATAACTGCTACAATAAAATGTAGGAGTTTATTATCAATTTTGACACATGCAAAACCATGTGGCCATGTCCTGCTCAGGGAGCTCATTAACTGCTTCCCCTTAATGGATTCACACTGTCTCCACTTTCCTTTTTCTTCTGTGTGTGTGTGTGTGCACCAGAAACGTCTGGCTTGGGCCCATTCAAGCATGAGAGTCAGTTTCATTAGATTTACATTAGAAAGACAAAACAAGGCAGTGTGGGATGGCTGCATCAGCATACTGTGTCTGCACCAGCAGACTGCATTAGCATTTCAGGTGGATCGGGCTGATTTACACCCATTTTAGCATGACTGTTAAATGCAGAAGCAGATTCACAGTACGGCAAAATTACCGCTCATAGTCTTAGGGCGTTTTCAGAGATGAAAGTCAGGGACCAAGCTTCATGTCTCTGGTCCGATACACCTTACACACCTGTTATTTTGGTTCAGACTAAACAGAAAATTCTGAAGGTCCGGACCAAACAGGATTGGTGTGAGCATTATGTCATCAGCTGCTTAAGAAACAAACTATTCATGAATACAGGAAAGAAATGGGCAAACGTGAAGTTGTTCACTGTTTACTCTGACATTTTAACGAAAGAAAATAACGCTCTGAGCTTTTAATCCTTTTAATTTACTCTACAGTGCAAGATAAAGAGATTTTGGGTGTGACAAATCATGGACAATGGGAGGCATCAATGCAGTAAATAGTTTTAATCGCACTTCACTTGACAGGTGACAGAGCTTTCATCCGTGTGTTCAGAAAAGAACTGCTAAAACTGTCAGCAGTGGAGATGTACTGAGGTTTGTTTTGTCCTGTGCTGTCAGTATTAAATGTCGCTGAGCCTTATTTAAATGCAGGGACTGTAACTATGTGGGTGAAGTGCTGTGGTAGCTCGGTGTGTTTCTCAAACTGTTGTTATTGGGAGGGTTACACTGATTTGATTCTCGCTTAAGCAGCTCCTGTATCACGAATGCAACAGAGCTGTAGGCAGTAATAGTCATCAACACAGATGCAGCTCATACCTTTTTTTAAACTCCTGCCTCTGTGCTTGTAATTCCCCAGGTTTTTGCATCCATCAATTCAGCTCATTTTATACAGATGTCACAGTGAATTAGGAAAACTGTTTAAAAACTAAAAATACCTATAACAGTACTTGGCTCAGTTTACCCAGCAACAGCCACCTTTTTTTAATTCTCATCGATTTTTGGTAAATAAGAAAGACTCAAAGACTGGATGCTCCAAAAGAACCATTTTGACTCACTGTTTTATATCTTATCTTATCTCAACTTGTAAGACAAGACAAGGTATTTGGAATTGAATATACTATTGTGAGGCATAGATAGAAATACATAGATAAATCCAAAATATCCAGGATACGAATTCCACCATCTTATGGATTTGGAGCCAGAGTCTGAGCTGTAGCGATAAGGGGATTGAGCCACAGTATTGAGGTCCAGCCGATACATGTGCTTGTCCAATTGCGAGTCAATCTCAGCTGTCAATCAGGACATTTCACCCTGTTTTTATAGCATCGAAAACTTAAAACCAACTTACTTTATGGTCACATAGATAGCGATTGAGAAAAGCATCTTTTCACTAATTAGCTGAGAGTCGGATGAGAAGATCGATATCTCTCTCATATCTGTTGTTGCAGGACAAAGATTGAAACTGTGTAAACAGTTACCTCGACTCTGGCTCTTTTATTTTTCCACTTGCGTTTTTGTGCTTTTGAGACAAACAAGATATAGAGTTTTAATTAGGCCCCTTTAGAGGAGCTAGCAGGCAAATTTGGACGGAGCCAGTTTTCAAACAGAGGCTATAGTTTAATATTCCAATCTAATTCTCTGCAAGAGAAATAAGTGTATTTACCGTAATGTGAAAATATTCCTTTTAAGCGAGAGTATCAGCCACAGGGTAAAGAAGTCACGTCAGTAATAGCGACAACTTTAAAAAAGCAGTATTTAAACAACAGCTGCCTGCCCTGTATAATCACACATTATTAAACTGTTCAGCATCAGACTCCATGTTGTCTCGGAGTCGACAGCTCATAAAGATGAGTGACAAGCGTCAGAGTGTAAACTTCAGTGTCAGCATCAGTCGGCAGCAGACCGTGCTGACTCGAGGCAGAGTCTTTTATGTGTTTGTGTCTTTAGTAAAAACACGAGAAGAGCATGACTACTTTATGATCTTGTTTAATTGTCTTGATGTGGAAATGACACTTGACGACGAGGGGGATTTTAACATGTGGGAAACTAGACACAGTCAGAGCAGGAAGCAGGTTTCTGTGCAGGCTCCGAGCTCCGGGCTGTGCAAATACTCCTTCAGTTGTTTACTCTGTCCCAATGCACACAATGGTAACCATAGTAAAAGAATTTACTTTCATTCAAAGTGGATTCAAATGAGCATCACGCACAGAGCAAATTAATTAACAGCCCCATCTTTGCATGATTCTGACAAAACCTTGAAAAGTCGGAGGAAGAGAGAAGGAGGAAAGCAAAAGTAAAATGTTTGTTTTGGTGCAGAAATGGCATTTTATGACATTATAGTTTGCAGCTGTTTTGTGCATGAATTTGTTCAGACAATTTCAGGACTGAATGCACACAGAATATCACAGCATCTCAATTGTGTTGTACTTTTTCTGTAAATACACAAACAATGTTCTGTCTGCAATTCAACGCACAGAAAACCGACCGACCACTTCTTTGTCCTCGCTCACTTTGCTGAACCGCTGATGTGCCGCTTTGGACTTCAGCTGTCAGATGTTCCGCACGCCCACTCGTGCGTGCCCCTCAGCCTGAACTCTGAGAGTCTGAAATGTGAATGTGAATACCAAAAAACTGTGCAGCACCTCATTTTCAGTCGGACCGTGGCGGTCTCTCTCTCCCTCCCCAGCCGCCCTCTGGCTCTAACCCCTCACAGCAGCCCATTGAGACACTTCTGCCACCACCCTCCCCCCCATCCCCATCCCCCCCTCGAGCACTTTGTCTCCATGACGATGTTTTCAATGAAATTTAGGCCAGGAAAGGTTGTTTTCTTTACCAATGGGGAGCTGTTAAATTAGCAGAACTCTATAGAAACTGCATCTCTTGGTGTTTTTAGGCAAGTACTAAGTGGTAAATATCAGTCAAATATGTGCAGATGGGGTGGGGGTGGGGGGCTTTGAAGCATCCACAATAATAACAGTATCCAATTTTCAGTCCCAGACTTCCATGCTGTGTCGGAGCTGAAAAAAGTAATTGAAAAATGTGGCTTTGCTCTGCTCTTTTTGCAGTCAGCGGTTTGGACACTGTTATCGGCCAGTACGGGGAAACACTCGAAATCCCGTGCAACAATGGAGCCGTGAAAGCCGAAGACGTCCTCATCACTAAATGGAAATACGTGAGTCACAGCAGAGGTCAATGGATTCAAAGTGATGAAGTCTGTCTGACACCCACTTATCATGTCTGAACCACACCCAGTCTGAGTGCATGTGCATTAGAGCATGCATCTGTCCCTCCATATGACACTGGCTGGGGGGGGTGCAAAACACTGTTATTTTATTGGAACTGGAAGCCGAGGCCATGTGTGACAGACGTGTAACAAATGCACTCTTCTCTGCTCCCAGGACAAAGGCGAGGGACTTGCAGGAGACCTGCTGGTCAAGCAGAAAGACCAGAACGCTTCAATCAGCGCCACTGATGAATACAAGGGCCGTGTCAGCATGGCCGCAAACTGCAGCCTCCTGCTCTCTGAGGCCAAGCTGACCGACCAGGGGACTTTCACCTGCATGGTGGCTGGTGCCGACATCAAGGAATACCCTGTGAATGTGGTGATCAACAGTGAGTACAAGCCGACACAAGCCTGAAAATCTGTTTGGATTGCTTTCTTGAAGGTGGTGACTGACGAGAGCAACAGCGTTCACATCACTTACTACGTCACCCTGCTCATTTGCACGTTTTTGAATGTGTTTCAGAGACGCCAGCAGGCCTGGAGATTTCTGACAAAGCGGAGGAACTGGAGATTGGCAAACTTACCAAGGTGGGGTTTTTAATGATAAACATTGCTTATACATACATTATTTTAAGCAGTAAATCATCAAGGGAAATCCCTCACTTGAGCTAAGGTATCTCGAGGCGTAGCAGAGACCATGTTACTACAGTAATGAGTTCTTTGAAGTGATTCTCATGAATTAGTAAAGAGCAGAATCCCCCCCCCCCCCCCCCCACTGCAATTAAAATACCCAGAGGATCTGAGGGGCTTTAGAAATGCTTTGGGCATTTCATGGTCTGTTGCGTAGAAAACTCCTCTGTCGACAAATGGCAGCAAGGCTCTAAAAAAGCCCATTTGCTCCCACGCATGGTCATTTATTACGAGTTGTGAACTGGTGATGATATTTTTTCTCAATATTTTTGTTTCTGTGCCGGTTATTGCATTTTCTCTCAATTTGTGATTTTTTTTGTTCCACAGTTGGCAAAATGTGTCGCTAATGATGCCAATCCAGCTGCAAACATTACGTGGTTAAAGAACAACAAACCCCTGGTGGCTGATGGGAAAGGTATGTACTTATCAACCTGTTGCATCTGCTAAGGGGAGAAAAAAACTACTCCTTGGGGAAGTTTAAGCAAATTTGATATTTATAAATATCAAATACTCATGTGTTTTTATTACTCTGAGGCTACATCCTTACTACTATGTTTGTGTAATAATTCCTGTCCATACATGTAGCATTGACGTAGACGTGCAGGTTTGAACAGTAAGTAGATTGCCTGCTCTGCAGTCAGTTGCTATCGAAAAGCAAATGCAAATGCAGGCATCATCAGTTCCAAACATCTCCATACTCACACACAGCCCTGCAGTTTTCAAACTCAAATCAGACGAGCAGCATTTTCAAAGTTCTCTGTTTGGTGAATCGCAGGAATAGTAGTGTCTTTTAAAATGTAGTATTTGTGGATGTAGCCTGACTAGGAGAGTCACTTTAAATTATTCCTCTGATGAATTTAACTGCAACCATCCACAGTGTAACTACAGTGTTTTGGTCCTTACACCATGGTTTCCTTCATAGTGTTCTCAGATAGAACTGTTTGTTTTCTGTCCAGGGATTTCCATCCAGGCGTCGGTGCTGATCGACCCCATTACTGGCCTCTCGACCACCTCCTCCGTACTGGAGTTCTCGGCCGAAAAGGAAGACTCGGACGCTGTGTTCACCTGCAGCACTCTGCACACCCTGGGTGTAGAACTGGTGTCCTCTCCGGTGACCTTCACCATCACCTGTAAGTCACAGAGCTCCCATAACAACACACACTGACTGAAGTCGCATTCTGTTTGCAGATGAGCTGCAGTGATGAGTAGCTTTGATTTAAAACAAGAGACTAGAACATTGGCTGGTAACAGATTTTTACTTTGACGTGTTAGGAGGATGTTTCAAAAGACGCCTGTGGTTTTTATTGCACATTAGATCCTGTGGCAACTGTGGTCAGTTTTAGTTACCGATACGGATCCAGCTGAGGATTCACACATCTTCTATTTCTTTAAGGATTAGTCAGCAAAAGGACTAACTCCCCATGAAACCAGAACATGTCATTTTTACAGTTCTTCTGTGGATTAGAGGAGTTGATAAGATTTTTTTGCACAGAACCGGGCTTGTTGTTTCCTAATTTCCAGTTTTTATACTAAGCTTAGCTCCTCCTGCAGCAGCTCCGTATTTAACAGACAGATAGGAAAGTGATATTGATCTTCTCATTTAACGTTTACCAAGAAACTGAAAAAAAAAGAAAAAAGTTGAGTCCTCTTTTACTTTGGTTTGGATAAAACAACAAACGTGTGTCTCATGGTTGTCTATGACCTTGGGTATTTTGGTAAAGATCCACATCCAGACAATAAATGTTTCTATGAAAAACCTAGATGGTTGTGCAGACATGTACTACGTAGGGTTTTTCTGAATATCTTCCTGTTTGGTTTAAAACGGGAAAAGCTAAATGTTGTTTTTCCACAGTTAGAAAATCTATCTACATTTTATTGTTTCATCTGTTCCTATTAATTTATCTGTGAGAATTCCAAACAATTTATAAACACTGTTTTTATTACAGTTGTTAATATAAACATTTAAAAAGAAATGACAGAAGTGATTCAGTAGTGCTGTTTTAAATTTTGAGCTTGAATTATTAAAGTGTTTCTTATTGACTCTAATGTGATTTTGAGTGCAGCTGCCAAATGTTATTTATTATGCAGTGAGTGACACAACTTCAAAAATACAGTGAAAACTAATGCTGCTCTGTGTGTTGGATCACACGGTCTCGCTGGGTTTTTCAGGACATCAGCAGCAGCTCCTGACCCACAACGTCTTAACGCAAGTGTTACGTTCCCCAATTAAAGTCCAGGGGATGAGGGGAGTAACAACATAAATAGAATCATAGGCAATGTATGAATAAACAAAAATAGTAAGTTATTAATAATAAACTGAAAACAACTTTCTAAAAGGGAAAGCGACACTGACTAGCTTCAGTAACAACTGAACTCCAAACCACAACCTTAAACAAACTAAATGGTCACGCTGCCAACACCAGCACACACGACATAAGCAGAGGAGATGACCATATCCAACACACACACACACACACACACAGCCTCATAACCACCATGGCCCTGATTGGTGATTGAGCCCAGCCGCACACTGTAGCTGCAGGGAAAGGGCTGGTACCTGAAAGGACACTGGGGAGAGAGCAGAGAGAAATCACAACAAGGCACGTAACAACAAGATAAAAAAAATCTCAATAAACTGAAATTGTAGCCATGAGACGGTCTTTTATAACATGTCATTCTTTTGTTTCTGGTAAAGTCAGACAGCAGTAATGACACATTTTAATGGTGGCAGTTGGAAAATGAGGTGTGGATTCTGTAACTCTGGTGAAATTTAATGCTGAACGCAGCATTAAATATTGAAGTCACCTGCTCCATGTGCCCTTTAAAGTGAACTTATCATTTTCTTAGAAGAAATCTCAAGAGTATGTCTCAGACAGAGCGGAAACATTGAGCTTTGAGATGATCGCCTGCTCGAGTGCCTCGGAATATGAGTTTGATTCGACAGTTTCCTTAACTGGAGTTGGAAAATGTGAAAAACGAACCGCGATACTCGAAGATAGAGCTTCCTGCAGACATAATCATGTTGTATTCTCACATGTTTACTCAGACATTATCCAGATTATTTACTAGGGGGCTGGAAGGAGAAACTCCAGAGAATGTCCACAGCAACTGACTTGGACATTTGCATCCTCACATACAGCCAACCAGATCATTTCAGAGCATTATCCAGACTGAAGTGCCTGTCTGAAAGCATCTCAATGTGCATCACCTCTCTGAGTTTCTGTCTCTTGTTTCCTGCTCAGACTCCACAGAGAACATCGTCCTCGAGGTTATTGCTCAGGACCCTCTCGTAGAAGGAGACAATGTGACTCTGAAGTGTATTGCAGATGGTAACCCGGCTCCTACCAGCTTTAACTTCCACCTTAAGGTACATGTGCTTATAAATATCTCGTTGCAAAGAGAAATCCACTCTCCTCATGCCTCTACAGCTTTGCATATATAGATTAATGACGCTGCCTGTTTGATTGTCTTTAAAGGGAGAAATGGTCAAAGTGGAAGATGCTGACACTTTCACCATCACCAATGTCTCACGTGACACCACCGGTGAATACAAATGCTCCCTCATTAGCAACCCCTCCCTGGAAGCGTCTGAGGATGTCATCGTCAACTGTAAGAAACCAAAATATTATATTTTAAATCGCTGCAATTATGCCACCAAGCAGCAGTAATGTCAGTGTGATTTTCTGCCTGTTATCTTAACTATGAAAGTGGGAAGTGTTTCTTAGAGAAAAGAAAAGTCCTAATATCTCTCTCTGCCAGCCTACCCGTCTTCTTGTGCTTTTTGGATAAAAAAGTTGTGTCTGTCGTGCTGCCTCTAATAAGCTGCATCTGCAGGACTGTGAACCAAGAGCAGGGCTGTATTGTTAACAACAGGAATGTTTTGACCATTATCAAGCCTGTGAATCATCTTTTCACTCACAACCCTCTTCTCTCTTTTTAGACCTAGACATCAATTTAAGCCCCTCTGGGAATATCATCAAGAGCGCTGATGAAGCCTTAAATCTGACGCTCCAGATTGATGCATCCGGAGAATCAGTGGTGTCCTGGACAAAGGTAAAGAGCAGAGTTTGATACAACAAAGCTCAAGCCAATAGAGGAAAGTTTGAGCTTGTTATCGATAGCGCTGATATCATTTTCTTTCCATCCAGGATAATGTGAAATTGGACAAAGAGCCCAAGTTTACCAAGCTGACCTACTCTGACTCAGGCCTCTATGAGTGCAAGGTGAAGATGGGACACCTGAGCCAAAAAGCTTCTTTTGAGCTGCTTGTTAAAGGTAAGGATTTAAACTCGGAAACTCAGGGAGTATTTGTCACGTTGCTTCGAGCTAAATGAGACTATCGACACCCCTCCCATGTCTGTGCAGCAAATATAAAACTACAGTCAGGGGTGTCTGTCGTCTCATCCCAGCAAGAAAGCATAGGACATATGCTAATCTAGAAGGGAACTCCGCAGAGCACATACCACCAACAACCCCTTTAAATTCAATAAAGCCGCACCAAATTACAAACGCTTATAATAGATATCCTAATTTGAAACGAGAGATTATTATTATTAATCTTTCTCTGGGACATCAGTAAAAAAAAAATCTTCCATTCTGGCAATGTTAAAAAAAGTGGAAGACAATTCCTGATTCCGCCCCCTGATCCAGATCCGCACCAAAATGTTACTGGTTCTTTCTCGACCTATTCCACATTCTTTCACCAGGCTTTGTGGAAATCAGTTAGGTTAGTATATTTTGAATCTAAAAACATTACCACCTTGGCGGGGGTAACCAACTCTTTTCTTAAAGACAGGTCTCGGTGGTTTTAGCTGTTTCCATGAATGCATCCATGACAAATCACTTTCTCATTCAGATGTATCTGAAGAGTTACGTCCTGTTGCAGGTCCTCCAGTGATCAGACAGTTGTCCAAGCACCGCGGCGAAGACGGACAACACAAGGTCCTGATGTGTGAAGCTGAAGGTGCCCCGAAGCCGGCTGTGTCCTGGAGCATCAATGGCACCTCGGTATGCACACTCACTCTGTTACAGCACGAGCCCTTGTTCCCGTCCTTCCACTCATAATTGTTACGATGTCTGAAGGTCGTATCCATCAATGTTAGATAACTGCACATACATTTATTCATCACGACCAAGAGAAGATTTTATTTTTAATGTACCATCAACCTCTTCTGCTGTCAGCACACAGAAAAGTCTCCACAGTCTTTTGGCTTGAAGAGAGCTTGAGGGGAAACACAGATTATTAACAGTAACAAAAGCAGCAGTGCTGTGATTGTTATTTAAATGCTGGAGTTTAGTTGAAAAAGATATGGCAGATACTATTTGATAACCAATATCAATATTAGGATGTTTACATCCTGGTTTTAGGCTCTGCTGGGCCAATGTAATGAGTCACATGGGACAAGTCCTGGCAGAACATGTGAAATGTCAAAGTGTTTATTTTAACCACAAAGCTTGATCGTCCACCAAACACATCTCAGCAGTCTCGGTGCCTGAACCTGATCAAAGTCTGACTGAAAACTGAATTAACAATATAATATTTAAGAATTCGACTTGACCTATGTTATATACTGTAAATATATGCTGCGTACTGACCTTATCCAAAATGTCTCCAACAATGTTCAATGAGGGAAATGCCCAATTATTCAAGGTAACTTTCATGGGTCAAATTCAGAAAAACACACTAGCCAGTTAGCCAGCATGCTATTTTAATTTTCACTTGTAATAGATCCCCATTATTCATCCTTTGCTGCGTAACATGAATAAGTTTGAAAACATTAACTCATTTGTGAACATGATTGGTGCCTGAGTTACTGGGCTCCTCCTGGTCCCATGTCTCACTCTTCCACCAAGTTTAAAAATAAATAAGTTGAGTAGTTTTTGGGTAATCCTGCTAAAAGACAAACAAACAGAAATGAAAAAACCTCCTCATCACTGAAAACTACTTTGTTACCTTGAAGGGATATTACTTACAAATATCTACTATGGATCAGATCAAAAACAGGGTTTGATTGAATCAAGATTTCAAGGATTCAAACTTTAAAGCTGAAATCTGTATCTTTGCATTTGTTGACAACCCACTGCAGCAGAAACAGCAGAGCTGCTTCAAAAGGTTGTCAGGGTTGTCGAAGCCTGCACTTAATTTGAACCAGCCTTTGCAAAACCTGGAAAATGCACCAGAATGTGAAGTTCGACGCAGCAGAATAACTGAACCACAGAATTTATCATCACTCTCATCTCAGACGGTTGCAACAGCGATGACAAGCACTTTTTTTTTTAAATCGCACCTTGAGGAGACAGTTTCCCCTGATGTGCTTGTTAACAATTGAATGTAATGATTTATTGATCTAAAAAGAAGATGCCAGTTATAATAAGTGGCTTCTCTAAAGTCCACCTAGAAACACTTGAAGTTGATTTAAGTTTTCAAATGAACTTTGTTCATTTTATCGAGTCATTCATTATCTGACTAATCAATACTGGTTATCACAGAAGAATTGTGAAATGTTCTTCTGTTTATCAAGTGTTTGTCATTCTCAGCTCAGAAAGAAGAATTTAAAACCACAGCCTTCATTCAGCAAACATCAATCTTTAAACCTATAAATTATAATGCCACATTTATCGTGATAATCAATATCGACAGGTATGAAAGTATTTACCCCGATATCATTTTCAGCCATATCGCTCAGCACTATAGTAGCAACAGCCTCTAAAGTAGACAGGAACTATTGTTGGGGATTTCTCTCTGCAGCAGGTGAATAGAAAACCAATTTTTGCTTCATTTGGAAAATTGGAATCCACTGTGTTGTTTCATCGTGTTTAGGCATCGGCTTCATCAAACGTCTTAAAATTCACTTATTGAGTGTGCGGACTCCATAAACAGTTCCATTAGCACCGTAGAAAAACCACTGAGATGATCATATAGTTGTTCAAAATGTAATGGTATTGTTTTCCTCAGAACAAATCTATGAATAACATCAGCAGAGGTGTGGTGTGACTACCAGAGGCAGTCTGCTCGAGCCTGCTCCCCCTGGAGTTTGTGAGGAAGCAAAAAAATAAAAAACAATTTAAGGTTTGCCCTGTATTGCAGAGTGACTGAATGCACCCTGTCATGGGCACGGTGGTCTGCACTGTTAGTATTTTCCCCAGCTATCACACATTTTCTTACTTATCTGCTTCAGACTTTTCCAAGTGGAGTAAGTTTCTTAATTCTGTCACACAAGACAAAAAGAGTCTGTTTTTCGAATGGACTTTTGTTGCAATGGTGCACCTGTGCGTGCACTGATAGCAGAGCCACTCAGTGACTTACGTGAATTATACGAACGGTATGAAAATGAACTTGAGGGCATGTGGGACGGTTGTAATTCGTTTCAGCCCTTTCAGTGTCTAACCTTTAAATTACAGCCGAACCCTGTGTAATAATTATTAATGCACACTGAAGCACTGAACTCTGTCACTCAGGGACAATGCATTTTGGAAATTGCACATTTCTATCATCTCAGTCAAAGTTGATTTTTTTTCTCCCACCTTTGTATCCTTCACACCCTGCTCGCCGAGAGAATAATGTACGACTTGATTACAGGCTCAGTAATGGTTATTTACAAAATTGCCACTTCCTCTTCTTGTATATGTGGAGGATGTGAAAAGGGTGTTGGCAGTTTGTCTTTGTGTCTGGGGTTCTCCTCTGAGACTCAAGTGTATATAACCCAGAGGCACACACGCTGTGTCTTTGTCAAGGAGAGCCTCAGTTATTCATCAGACCAACATCGCCTCCTAGTGCCGTAAATAATCCTTAAACTCCCCCATGTTGGATGTGTGAGAGCTAACACTTGTATTTATTTCATTTGCCTCTCTCTGTGCAGCCTGAGGAGAGTCCATTCGTCAACGGAAAGATTACACACAAGATCACAGTTGTGCCCTCTGCAAATCTAACTGTGTCTTGTACGGTGATCAATGAGTTTGGCACGGATACCAGGTCTATAAATGTGTCATCCTGTAAGTGTTTGCTCCTCTCGCCTCCCTCTGCTTTAAATTCCTCCTAAAGCCGAGATCTGCCTTCGTACATGTTTTCCTACTCTTCTCATGAACTCTCTGTCTCTGTCTGCATGTCAACTATAACATTGAGATGTTTTAATAAAAACTCAAATTATTTAGCAGGTATCTTACTTGAGAGTAAACCCACCTAATTTATTTTGAATCTATGTACTTTTATTGTTGTAGACTTAAATGTCCTTCTCATTTATTAGTATTAAATCTAGAAATCTTGCTGTACTTTGATGATCTCAACCTAGGTGTAGACAGAAAGAAAGACAGAATCTTTTTGATTTATTAGAAGGATCATTTTTAAAAGGTTAGGTAAAGGTAAAAAAAATAATCAGATACATGATGGTAATTTAGAATTAGCAATGTTCTGATACCTGTCCATGGTGTACCCTGCCCAATGCCACCTGCCGATACCAAGTACCGATCTGATACCTGTGCATTAAAAAAAAATGAACAGCTGATGTCGTGTATAGAAGTGGCAGTACAGCGCAACTGCTGTTTTGAATATTGCAATATCTGGGGGGAACCGACGTGTTATTGGATCAGGTATTTCTGATGCTGGTTTCAGTACTGGAACATTTCTCATTTGAGGATTTAAACATTTTTCTGATATGTATATATTGTTGGTGGTTTGCTTTCTCATTCACTGTGACCCTCGTAACTCATCATCACTATGTCACTGTCAAAATGTACCTGATGCATGCACCTAGCACGTAATACTCTGTTGTGCAGCGTTTTCATCGTCCTCTGCTTTCTTGCTTACTCATTCCTGTGTGTTTGGGACACTCCTTGCTCTGTGTGTGTGTGTGTGTGTGTGTGTGTGTGTG